TCTTTAACTTCCTAGTTAATAAGAGGCTGAGGACTTTGGACAGCAGTGTCCTAAATTCCTTATTATTTTATAAGCCACCAAACATTGAGGGTGGGTAGGATGAGTATGTAGGAGATACGGATGCAGTAAAAGGGCTCTGATCTACCCGGCAAAGCTTATGGATTCTAGTCTATTAAATGTAGACTCCTGGTGTGAATATCATTCCAGCCCATGTATTTGTGGGTCCTCTCTAAAGAGGACTGTACTCTATGCTAAAGTCATATATTCTTTAAAGCTCAAAACTCATCTTAGGTTTCTTTACCTCTGTGCTAAACTTTTGTTTTTGTTCTAACAGATTGTCAAAATTCTAAACCTTTATACTCCCCTGAATGAATTCGAAGAACGGGTAACAGTGGCCTTTATACGAACGATTCAGGTGAGTGTTGCGATATTAAACAATTCTAAGACCTAGTCTCAGACTAATCAGGGAAATTAGAAGTTTGCATTTTATCTTTGCTTTGCTTCTCTGTATTAATAAAATGTTTGTTACATTATATGCTAGAAGAACCTACATTCCTAGGCTTCCTATTTGGGTAAATATGAGACACATCATCCATGAATAACTTCTTATACCCACACAGAGGACTGAACTTTTCTAATCTCTGCTTCCCAGGTTTTAGAAAGTCTGTATGTTATTTCATGTGCCCTTGGCATGTTCCTGAACTACAGCACCAAATGGAATTAGCAAGGAGAAATAGTCTTTCAGGAAAACCATCTTGTCTCTAAGACTTAAAATACTTGTCTTTAGGAATATGCTTGAAAGAGAACACATTAGGGAAATAGTTATTTAAATCTGTCTTTTCTTAAGACATCTCTGGGGTGCAAATGTTTAACTCACTTGTGGCTAACAGAATGGTTAGAGGTTCGAGTTCACCTACACACACCTTGGAAGAAAGACATGGCAATCTACTTCTGAAAAGTTAATCATTAAAAACCCTATGGAGAGGGACAAGGTTGTAGTCACTTGTTGAGTACAGCCAGCTAAACAGAGGGAGTGAGTATTTGAACCTGTGGGCTTGGGACCATAGTTGCAGGGGACATCAAGCTCAATTGGCATAACATACTACACAAAACTGTTCCACCTCCTTCTTTGGCAAGCAGCGACTGGGATCTTAAAAGCTTGCAAGCAGCCATCTAGATGCAA